CCCAAACACCTCATTTCAGCCTTTCAGTACTTAAAGCAAGTTTATGAAAAAGACAGAGATCGTTTACCAAGACCTGTAGGGACAGCTCAAGGGATAACAGTTTTAAACTGAAAGAGGGTAGATTTAGGTTAGCTATTAGGAAGAAATTCTTCACTCTGGGGGTGGTGAGCCACTGGAACAGGTTGCCCAGGGAAGTTGTGGATGCCCCATCCCTGGAAGTGTTCAAGGCCAGGCTGGATGGGGCCTTGAGCAACCTGCTCTAGTGGGAGGTGTCCCTACCCATGGCAGATCTCTGAGGTCCCTTCCAACCCAAACCATTCAGTGATTCTTCAGTAACTGCATTGACAAGCAGCCAGCTACTTTCTAACAGCAAGCAAACTTCAGCACCTGAAACCGCGTACTCCAATTTCATATAGGTACCAGAGCAGAAAATGTGAACCTATTTGAAGGCACTGAATGTCCTTTATCTCTTACTAAAGCTACATCTTATGAAAACAACGTACCAGAGACTTCATACTGCAATAGCAAATTCACATAAAATGGCAGACACAACCTTTCTGTAATCATAGCTCTCGTTTTAATAAGCCAGCAGACCGTCTTCCATCCTGGCAAGTTCTGTGTGCTAATATTGTTATTTATGTATTAAATGTTGAATACTGGTTATTGAATCTCGGCTAGTAGATTTGGAGTGCATGTGTTTTATTTAGTTTCAGCAATTGTCCCAGTCAAGACTATGCTTTTTAATCAACAAGGTGGAACTGCACATTTTGAGACTCCAAAGACACAGCACTAACTTTTGTCGCTGTAGGGGCTGCCCATTTTCCATCAGGGTTAGGCTGGTGAAGTAGCCAAGCACCTTTCCCTGTGGCAGAAGCCTGTTGAGCATCTGCCTGTTGTGAAGTGTCTGAGGTACTGGAAGTCCCCGGGAGCGGTGGGAAGGTGGCTGCTACCCACTGGCAAGTGGTGGGGCGAGCTCCCTGTGAGCCAGGGAGCAGGCAGGGGCAACTGCAACCTCAACCACAGCCTGCAGGTTGTCACCCAGGTCACCTGAAGGTGTCCCGATTAAATGAAATTACCATCCCAATTAAGCAGCTGTCCTTGCCACAAGTATCATTAGGTGTAAATTGATTCCTTGGGAAGCATCTTGATTAAGTAGAGTTTTCTAATTAAGCAGTGCACTGTAGTAGTTAATGAGGATTTATAGCTCAATGCAGTAAAATGCAGCAGCTGCTTACTTGCTTGCCAAAGCTAGATTTATTTATGCTTTATCAGAACTCTTAGGTCAGTAACACGTTATGCTACAGAGGGTTAGGATTTAGTGTGGGTCATGGTGGAGAGAAGGGACTCTGTTGATTTCACACACGCATGGGAACCTGTTTGAAAGACTATGTGTGTATTAGCAATGCAAGTTGTGGGGAGTAGATCACTGCTGAGCAATTCAAAAGCAACTTTATTTTTTAGTTGCACATTAAGACATACTTGTAAAATTCAAAGGCTGTGTTTACTTTTAAATTTACTTTTAAATTTTAAATTACTTTTAAACTGTGTTGTGAGATAATGCACAGTTTGAGTGGATTCATGTCACATACTACTAAAAATAAACAACCAGAAACAAATGTCCAGCTCAATTAAAATTAAGAGCTGGAATCAGGCCACCGTATTTTCTATGTTAAATAGATCCTAGTAAACCCTAGAGTTTTAGCACCCTGATCTGGCTTTACCTGTTGTTGGTGGTTTTTTTTCAATTCTTAAATGTGAAAATATTTTTTCTCCATTGTCAATGATCACAATTCGTTAGCAAAATTTATACTGTAGCTGCTCCTCAATCTCCCCTCCAATGCCTGTCACAAAATTAGATTAATCTGCATAGCTAAACATTGCTGGCAGAAGAAAGAGGGGAGCTGACAGTGTAGAGGAGGATTTCAAATCTCTGGTGGCAGCTACTTATCCAGGCAAAACCTGTGAACTTTCTGCTGTTCTGGACATGGTGGCTGGAAAACTGGAAGGAGCATCCAGCTGGCTCTGTTACACACACATTTGGAGAGCTGCAAGGGAAGAGCTGCACGGGAGGCAGCTGGGAAGCTGCACGAGAATTTTCTAAATACTACAGGTCATGAAGAGGCGTTTGCTGAACTGCTCCTTTCTGCTGGTGTTTCTTATTAATTAGTCGCATGCGAAGCACAACATCCTGCGAGTGAAGCTCTGCCTGATTCCATTGTGTGACTTCTTTAAAGAAATACACAGATGTTGTAGAGGCAGGGTTTTTTCCTAGAGAACTGTGCCAAAAGTACCATTTTAAAGATGCAGTGGAGTGATTTGTTCCTAGCAAAGAGTCACTGGTAACAGCTCAGCAAACTAGGGAAATTATTATTAATTACTTAACGACATTCATTTTTCAAACTGAAACATATGAGAAACTCAAATCTTCTGGTTTGTGTTTCGGGTTTTTTTTTTATTATTATTAGAATGTAAGAATTTTTCCAGAATGGGGACAAGGCAACCCACAAACCCAGCCATAACAGACTAAAGTTGGTGCTCCCTGCCATACAGGTTTTAAACACAGAACCCTGCGGTCCTCGATGCTTTAATCCCACCACTCCCCCTACCCCCAGCGTTTGTTACCGCTGCCTTCAGCCGCGGCACGTCCCAAAACTGCAGCTCAAGAAACATTTCCTTGCGTTAAAAAGGACTGGCTCCCCACCTGGCCACCTTCCCTTGGGCTTGGGGGAGAAGGGGGGTGGTGTAGGGTGGGTGGCCTTTTTTCCAGGCGCTGGCTTGGGAGATGCTGCTCACAGGGAGCGGGTTTCGGGGAGCACCGAAAGCGTTTTTCTGGTGGCTGTGCTGGGAAGGAAAGGCTCGGGAGAGTCAGGCTGCCGGGCAGCATCCCATGGCGCTCCTGCGGGGACAGGCTGCCACCCTGCGACCGTGCCAGCGGGGAGGCAGGGACCTGCAAGATAATGAAGAACCTAAAAAAAAAAAGCCCCAAAACCAAACAAAAAAACCCCAACAAACTTAAAAAAAAAAATAAAAAAATAATTCATTTTTCCAGCACAATACCATAACCCTACGCTCAACCCTGCCCCGCTCCTATTTATCCTGCTCTCCTTTTTCCCAGGTCTTTAATCTGTGGGAGTGATGGATGGGGTCTCTGATGAGATAATCACTCAAGGATCAGTCTGGTGGGGAAGGAACCTCAATTATTATTTACTGCGCATCACTGACATTCTGCACAAAATGTAGAACTCGTTTTCTTACGGACTTTTTTTCTGCCGGGGCTTTCGTCACTACGCCTGCCAGCTTTGTGAGGAGCAATGAATGTTGTTTTTTCGGTGTGCCGGGGAACTGGCACAGTGCTAGTCACTTTGTACAGCAGGGGGAAGTGAGGCGTGGAGAGATTAAAGGCATAAATTGGCAAAAAAATCAACTGATTTTAAGTACTGAATTGTGAAATCTGATTCATTCCCTTCTAAGCCACCCAGATATTAATTTATCTATTCAAGGCGCCGCTGCCTGCCACCAGCTGCAGCTCTGAACACTCCAGCTCTGCTGCTGAAAGCTCAGAGATGCTCATCAAGCACCCAGAAAAGGACCCTGTGAGTGATGACTGGTAAATCATAGAATCATAGAATGGTTAGGGTTGGAAGGGACATCAGAGATCATCAAGTTCCAACCCCCCTGCCATGGGCAGGGACACCTCCCACTAGAGCAGGTTGCTCAAAGCCCCATCCAGCCTGGCCTTGAACACTTCCAGGGATGGGGCATCCACAGCTTCCCTGGGCAACCTGTTCCAGTGGCTCACCACCCTCATAGTAAAAAATTTCTTCCTGAGATCTAATCTGAATCTTTTTTCTTCCAATTTAAAAACTGTTTCATGGAAAGTTGTGTCTGAGAGAGCTGTGGACCATCGCACCAGCCATCTGTATCCGGGCAGCACCGCTGGGCAGGCTGGGAATGCTGTGTTTCTTACAGCCTCTCCTGTGCACAGGCACCCCGATTCCTGCTGCCAGGCTCCTGCCGCGTCCCCGTAACCCCTGCACAGCCCCAGGGTGAGATGGACAAACACAACTGCAGCCAGGTGCTCCACGGGATGATAGACACGTGAACGTCTCCTCCTCAGAGTCTGAAGTAACGCCTGCTGCAACGGGACAAACCCAGGGACAGGCAGCTCAGGTTTTGCAAATGTGGGCTTTGGATACAGGCAGGGAGAGGAGGAAAGGAGGAATAACTGGGGAATACATCTCTCAGGATTAACAGTTCCCGCATGGAGCGTTTTAAAATTAAGTTACTCTCTGGTTACTTCTATCCTTCCTTTTCAAAGTAAAGCTTTTTGTGTACTGCTCGCCATTCCAAATGTCTACATAGTTTGAATACTAAGATTTACACAGTAGGTCAACAGGTCTTCTAATATGTGTAGAAGAGTGTAATACCCATTTTCTGAAGACACTGCTAAATCCTGTCTATTTGTGTCCATTTTAGCCTTCTAATTCAAAAGAGTGTCCTCTCTTGGTGACTTCTAACACCGCATTTCCTTCTGTTGAAATCCCAGGTGGGCAGCGCACTCTCAGGCCAAGAGATGATGACAGCTGCTGATGTGCCTTGCTGAGTTTCCACCACCTGGTGAGACTCTAGAGCTCATGTGTTTCATCTTCAGCTAGTCCAATACCTTAACTAAGAGCATCCACGCCACTCCGAGTCCAAAAAATATTCCATGTTTTGAAAGTACCAAGGAAGGTCACTGTGCAAAGACTTTGACTCTAAGTCATCAGAGTAATGATGTCTGCTGCAAAAGGTCATTGATACTGATGTTGCACCCAGACAAAGGAGTAAAGGAAACTTATCTGGTTCTCAAAAGTGTTATTTCCAGAGGATTGTTAACTGCTTGCTGTGAAAAGCAAATCATGACTCATTGGTGCCCTCCAGCAGGGAACATTCAGTTCTAGGAGGAAAAAATTGTAAAATAGCTGGAAAGCAAGAACACCTTAACAGAGAATAGACAAACATTATACAAAAGTTCAGGCAGTATTCCAACGAGATGAAAGGTTTTCAGTACACAGTAAAACACTCTGAGTGTTTGTAGAGCCTTTTCTCTAGCAGGTGATTTTTTTCATTGTGTTTTTCACCAAACTGCGAGCTAGAAGCGCTGCTAGCAAACCCACAGGATAAACGTTCATAGCTCTGTGCTGGGAGGTATGAGGAAATTTGCACTTTTTATTTCATGATATACTTCCTTTTACTCCTCCCCTCAAAACAACTTGCTCTGAGGGGGCACAAACTCTATTAGAAAACAAGATTTCTAAGAATTCCACTATGAAATAGTCTTTTACTACCTACCTATCACAAATCAAGCCCGCGTGCCAGTGAAAAAGCATACAGATGGACAGCTATGTATTTAACCAAGTTGGTTAAAATACAGTCAGGAGTAGGCAGGTCACAACAGATTGCAGGCAGAGCACAGGCTGAAGGAGGCTTTGCTATGGCAAGGGTGCGGAGGGTTTCCCTCAGCTTCCCCAGGCACAATGTGCAGCTTCCCATGGCCCGGGTTTCCTGGGGCGTTTCTTTTCAGTTTTCATTTACTGTTTTTCACACAATTAGTTTGAAACCCCTGTATTTTATTTCAATGAACCTCCTACATGCAGAGAAGGACCCATTTAGGTGCACTGAAGAAGCACTAATGCCTGCTTGTAATACAGTAGACCCAAAATTACCAGGAAGCCTGAATGATCAGCGTTACAGTATGTTAAATGTTTCCTGGTTTTCCCATTCCCCTGCCACTGTAGCATTTTCTTTCTCTCCAGTGTGGCTGTAACAAGCACACAGCACCTGCGCTGCCCGAGCTTCCCCACAAAACAGCTCTGCTCTACCATGTGAAGTAAGATTTCTTTTGCACCTAACAAAGCAGAAAGAAATCTTGCAGACAGCTCCATTTATTCTCCGATTTTATCCCTGACACTAATATTTTTTATTTTTTTTTTTTTTTTTTTGCACACACACTCTCTATATATTTATACATATTGAATACACGCACACACATACCATATCTAACAATATAACAAATCCATCCTAGCAGAAGATGTCACTTTAGTCAATAATCAGAATGGAAGAAACAAAGGTACATATGGAGGAGGAGCAGTTGGCTTGAAGAGCCTGGGCATCTGTTAAGGATTAGCACAGGAACAATTTAGGCTGCCACGTGACTATCATGACATGAACCTCCAGTGCCCGTCGCACACAGCACCCAAACAACTGCTATTCAGGGGAAGACTATTTCAATTACAACTACTGTTCCAGAGAGGAAACACTGTTTGACCACAGTGCTCATTACTGGGGGAAAAATTTAAACCAAAGGCAGGCCACTGATCACAGTTACTGATTATGTCATATTTACACGTGGGTTTCTTTCCTGCTGGGACTAGTTTGACAGGATTTCCTAGGTTTTTTTTATTTTTCATTTCACTAAGCCCACTTTCTTTACTTCCTTGATGCACTAGACTGACAACTATAAAGGTCAGCTATCCTCAGGGGACAGCACAGCTTGGCTTTTGGGCAACAGCAGCCACCAGGAAGTTGGGCTTCTCAGCTTGTCTGTGTTTGTCAATGCCAACAGAAAGCCTTTTCTTCTCCAAGTGCTCTGTGGGGCTGAGACAGAGAAGCAGCCTGCTCAGCCAGCATCCCCAAACACTGCTCAGCACCTTCTTTATTAAACAGTCTCGGTAGAGAAAAAGCATGCATATGGGGCTGGATTTCTAGAAGACACAAAATACTTTCAGAGCATTAAGTGACTAGAAATTACAAGCCGTAAAAGTCAGTTTGGAGCTTCTCAGAAAGAACAGGAAACTTTTATAACAGCAAAAGGAGGGCATGAGCTTCTCTGGAGGCAAATTTCACATCAAGTTGCTCAGATTATATTCATCCCACAGAATCTCTGCACATTAGGAATGAGTCATCTAAGGATTAATGTAAAGGTCATTGCAGTGACATGATGCATTGTGTCCTGAGAGGATAATAGTATGGTACAGCCACACTGCAGTTGTACTAACAAAATCTGAAATGCAAATGCAGGATGAGAACATGTGCTTTTACTAGGGTGTGCCTGTACTTGTGGTCACTGAGCAAGTGCTTCTCAACACCCACATTAAGAACATCGTAGCTGTTCAGTGGTTAATTTATGTCATACAGTAGCAGAACATGTGCTTTTACTAGGCTGTACATGTGTTTTTGGTAACAGAGCAGTTCCTTCTTAATACCCATACAAACTAACCAGTGGTACTCTTACATTCACAAAGGAGTAAAGTAGATTTGGCTAAGGAATTCAGAGCTTTTTTTTCCCCCCTCGGGCTGCCACAAAAGTTCCAATCTGTTTGGCAATGAACTGTGACATGATGCTGTGCTTAAGTATCCTCTATCTTGGTCTGAAGTGTCCAACAAGGCGAAGGCCATTGCTCCAGCTTTGCAGCGTTTGATTCAATGAGGGGATCTTCTGTCATCTCAGACTCAGGTTTACCATCTGCTGGTTCTTGGTCTTTGCAGGCCGTGGGTGGCATTTGCACAGCAGATATGACATCGCTTGTGTAGGCATTTATTTCTCCTTCAGCAACAGAGTCTTGTTGGCTTGGATTATAGGATCTTTCAGATAAGGCAATATAGTCATGGTCAACAACCACTGCACCTTGTAAAAAGTAATGGTTATCTGCAAAAGAAAAGAAGCCATTAAGACATACTTAACATTTATTTAGGTGTTAACTTACTTTTCAAAACAATTTCCATAAGAGGACAAGAATGTTTGAGTGACAGCAGTCTAAGAACATGAATTTCCTGATTCCACCAAGCATCAAATGTTTGGCTGCATCTCATTACATCCACAAAATAATGTTTGCAGCGATGCTCCACATTAAGAGTTGTTTTTTGCCAGGCCAATGACTAGCTTGACATCTGTCATAGTCACCTACTGAACTGATACCTTAAATAATTGGACACACAGATTCTTCCATTTTGTGCATACAGACAGGTGGCTACTCCAAGCTCTTGCTGGGAAATCTTAATGCACAACAGGCTGCTTGAAGATGTACAAAAGGAAACAAACCAGTTCTTTAGAATTTAAAGTCAACAATAGTGAAAACATATTGAGGTTTTCTTCTATCCAATATATGGTTACAGTGTTTTGACTTTTTCCAAATGAGTTCAAATAAAATTAAAACAGTCTGACCAGACAAATTAGAAGTGTAATTGACAACACGGTGCAATACTTCTGTTTTGGGAGGTGAGTTTAGGTCTTATCTTCTTGCTCACACAGGGACCCTAGTATGAAATTAAGTGTTCTGTTAAATCAGAAGAGCCATTCAACAGATAACTATCCCTATATAGCGGTCTACAAATTCCTTTGTGAGATGTAGATTCAAAGAGGCACCTTTGTGGGAGCTACTGTGGAGGTGAAACTGCACTTTTCAGGCCATATTTATCAACAGATGTGTTCCAGATCTACCGATTTGAACTCTTAAGTCATTTGAGCACTGGACCCAGAGGCAGTCTCTTGAATTTAATATTTAAATCAAACTACATTCATGTTTGAGGAAAACAATATATTGCTTCAGACACGTAAAAGTATGTATGCATAAAGAGTCGTGGAACCTCTGCCTGTCTGTAAAGACACCCAGGTATCATGCCACCCAGGTACAACCAAGCTGTGAACCTGTGATGTCCATACAAGGGCTCTATCAGTGCACTAACTCAGGATTCATCTTTCAACCAAGAGTGTTACAAAAGGTTATGAAAAAACACCTTGCTTCTGATTGCCCACTCTTACCTGCAAAAAATTTTTTTCCTCACATGAAAAATGAACACTCCCATTTTCAGGAATTGCCTTTCCTCCTTAAAACTCCCAAACTCACACGTCTAAAGCATGATACACACAAGACACACTTCAGATTTTGCAGCAAGATAAGCAAAACACTTAGTAGCACTTACAAAGTTGGTAGGAAAGGCCACAAATAGCCTCACCTAAGACGTACTTTTTTCTGCAGTGTTCTCTGTGATTTATTTCAGAGAGAACACTACAAATACTTTGTTCACACTTAACACCACAGTAGTAGGAATAATAAATAACTTGCAGACAAAACAAAACATCTGCTAATAAAGAGAAGTCCTTTGTTACAAAGATACACGAGTTTCTTTACAGATGAAAAAAATGTCATTCACTATGTCATTCACTGCCTGGCTTCACTGCTCTTATCCAACTGAAATAATACCCTTTGTTGATTGCTGTTAGGCTGTTTGATAAATGCAGCCAATTATTTCGGCATAGCCTGATTAACCTCTCTACACAATGTAAGTATGTACCAATATTGGTCTATAATTTTTAAGACTTGTAAGTATTCATAACGCATTGAGTTTTTTTGCCTGTCTCAGGCAACTAATCCTTAGTCGCTTCCTGGGAAAGGGAAGAAACTCTGTGTTCACATACTGTTTCTGCAGTATTTAGTGTTAAACATACTAGGCTTTGATCCTACAAAGACAACCACCTTTAACTTCTTATACTGTGACACAATCTTCCAAAGTCGTTGTAATAGCTAGAAATTATCTGCATGCTTGACATGCACGTGACTTCTTCCTTACGGATCAGTAATTTGATGAGGAACTGGAAGCCTCAGAGTGATCGTCCAACAGCGAAAGCAGTGTCCTGGAGACGTGACATGAAATCAGTATCTTGGTTATGAAACCTGTAACTGACAACTGGCATAAATATCAGCTTCTCACATGAAATTCCAGAATTAGTTTCAGCTTTGCAAATCCCTCAGCTTTAAGAGGTGATGGAAGAAATTATCATCTCAATGCAGTTTACGCATTTTCAAGAACCAAGTCTTAACCACACATGCCAACAGGGTGGGAATTGTTCTAATATTCAAGAACCCTGAACCAAAAAGCGGCTTGTTCTATGGCAGAAGCATTCTAAACACTGAGTATTCATTTTCCTCAGAACGCCTGCAGTGACTCAGAGACAGCATCAACAGAAAAGAAACAGCTGCCACTATTTGATGAACACGGCAGCATTGCAAAAGGACACGCTGAATGTGTAAGAGCAAGCGTGGCAGTTGATCACCCAAGTCTTTGGGAATTTCTAGGACTCCTAATGCAGAGTGTGACAATGTTACTTGCTCTGGTAAAAGAAACACATCTACTTCTTCGGTAGCACAATTTAAAATAAACTCAGATTATTTAACCAGTTCTCTGATGCAGTCTTTCTATCTTAAGGTGCTCTTCTGTTGTTAAAGGAAGAAGTCTAAATATGTACCATCTGCACTAGTCAGACTAAGTTAAAAAAAAAAAAATGCTCTGTGAATACAGTTCAGCCTTATACTTCTAGCATGTTTTCACCAGCCAGCATCAACAGGGCCAAACCACAGATTAGAAGCAACTCTAATGGAAGCTATTTTTAAACAGACTTTAAACATGATTCATTAGCTCTGCTCCATGCTCCACAGAGGTTTGAAGCCACTCACACTCACTGAAAACTGCAATTATTACATTATTACCTGGGATTAGTTTAATTCACGCTGCTGAGTGAATGATACTTGTTCACTCTGATAACCTACACTAACATCAAGAGATGACAGAAAAGTTATTAAATAAATAAATCAATCACAGAAACCCAAATTTATAGATATATAGATAATTAGATAGATAAAATACACACATAGATATATACACACTTTTTTCACTGGATCTTCTTACATATGGCTTGAGGTGAGACATCTTGATGGGTCTTTTCAACCTGGATCCTGTGGCATCTCTTAATATTGCACAGCCATTATCTGTGATATAATCTATAATACAAGGACCAACCCATTCCGACTGGAAACGACCATCTTTCCACCAATTTTTTCTTTGCCTGAGGACTTCATGACCAACTTTAAGTCGAACAGTATTTAACTGCTTTGACTTCCTTCTGACAGTGATTTTGTTCCTGATTTTTTGTTCATCTGAAGTGTTCTTCTCCACCTGTAGAAAGATACATATGAATTATTTTCATAACATTGGTTAATAATGCATAAGCATAACATTAAGTGGGTTTTGATGTGTGTAATTCATAATATGTAGGGCTGGACAGTTCTGAAGAAATTGATGTCTTCATAAATCAATAGTCCATCAGCAACGATTTTCAGCTTCCATGGGTATATAGCCCTCTAAGTCAAATACAAATCTTGTTGGCAACAGGTCTCTTCTAAGTTTAGTCCCTCAAAATACCTGGGAATTGTTAACACTGGAATTTAGGAATCACAGGCAAAAAAAAAAAAAAAAAAAAACAACCAAACAAACTAAAAAACCCCCACTCAAAACCCCATATTGCTTTAAAAGGTTAGTTATATTTTACACTTCAAGCCTTTCCATCTTTTTTTTTTTTTCAGTCTTCTTACTGGTAAAATTTGAATACATAAACATTTACCTGGCAGTCTGAGGTTTTCTCTTCTTCCAGTGCTTCACTGGCTTTTTTAGTTGTTTCAAATATTTTGGCAAACATACTGTATTCTCCTTCCACACACACATTCATTGGCTCAACAACATGGGGGTTACGATTAAACATTTGGAAATATGGGGTGTTTTGATCTGGCTCCTATTTAAATGGGGAGCAAAAAGCAAGCACATTTAGCATACAGCTTTGTAGCTACTTTGGGAAACTTCGGTTATAAGACCAAGAACCTTCACATACCAAATTTGTCAAATTGAAAGCATAGGCAATAGCAGACAAATGCTCATCCCAGTCATTTGGATGGTCAGTGCAGTATTTGTTAAGGAAAGCTTTAATTGTCTTGCATGTTCTTTCATTTACATCACCTGTCTGAGGATAAGACAATACAATTTGTTTCATTCCAAAGAGTGCAAACAGTTCTTCATTTATCTTCAAAAGAAAAAGAAAAAACACAGTTACTGAAGGTTTCCCTCTTCTGTATGACAGTTCAAGTAAGCAAACTCAGTTTTCCATCTCTTTTGCTGCTACAACAGTGACTGAGCAAGAGTCTTACGTATTCCCACCAAACAGCCCAGGGTTGAGAGTGAGAGCTAAAGTAATCAGCATGGCTTAGGAGGCAGTAATTGATGGCCTCTAAACACATTTCTGCCACTAACTCAATTTGTCATTTCCTCTGTGTCATAGTCTCATGATTTCATCATCTCTAAGAGGATCAAAGTGTGAAAAGTTCTTCATAATCACTATAGACCAGCGTCAAAAATATCCTTAGCTGTCAGCTATATTGGGACAATATGGATGAATAAAATACAGCGTGTCGGGAGTGTGAAAGGTTAACTGAGTGACAAAACCTGCACTATGACTGTCAGGAAATCATTTTGCTTTGCTCTTTATCCAAATAATACAACCCTGGGAAACACTGCATAATGTTACAATTGCAAATAATTGGTTTGTCATTTTCTGTATGTGCTAACTTTTTTTTTTAAATTAAAGAAAAAATACTTACAGTATTTTTCAAGAATGGTCTTAAATTCACATTTAATACAGGATAAAATGTATTTTTTTTCTTGGGGAAGAAAAAAAACAACCAGCCATGTGAATACTTACCTGATAAACCAGCTCCTTCCCTTGATCAATAGGCATTTTTTGAGGTGGCCCATATATGAAAAACACATTTATGATTGCCTTAGCAATTTCAGCTGCTGAAGTGTCATGCAGCGGCAAGATAACAGTCCATCTTGTAAACAAATCCGTCATCGTTATGATGTACTTGTGGCTTCTGTTGGTAATATTAAAAGGTCCCATTAGGTCTATAGTGACTGCTGCCCATGGCTCCTCAGCTTTGATAGGATGTGTTTTGGGTGCAGTGGTGGTTGTATTCTTTGCCACTTGACAATGCTGGCAAGCATACACCTAGTGCAAACATCAAGGAAGATACTATCAATGCAAAGGGATGGTGAAGGTTTAAGACACACAGCAGGATTGTAAGTCTCTACTATTCCTCTGTTAGTCAGGTCAGTCCAGGCAATGCAAAACAAGTTAATTTTACCATCTCTCATCACTTTTTACCCTTAGACTTTTCAGCCCCAGCATAAAACCAAAACAAAACCAAATAACAGTGAAGGCCAGGAGGACATGCCAACCGCATCTTGGGGTGCACCAAAAGAAGCATGACCAGCAGGTCACAGTAGGCAATTCTACCCCTCCACTCTGCGCTCGTGAGACCCCACCTGAAGTACTGTGTCCAGCTCTCAAGTCCTCAACATAGAAAGGACATGGACCTGTTGGAATGGGTCCAGCAGAGGGCCACAAAGATGATCAGAAGAATGGAGAACCTCTCCTATGAAGATAGGCTGATCAGCCTGGAGAAGAGAAGGCTCTGGGAGACCTTACAGCTGCCTACCAATATCTGAAGGGAGCCTATAGGAGAGCTGGAGAGGGACTCTTTGTCAGGAGATGTAGTGTCAGGACAAGGGGTAACAGTTTTAAATTGGAAGAGGGGAGATTTAGATTAGATACTAGCAAGAAATTCTTTACTGTGAGAGTGGTGGGAGACTGGAACAGGTTGTCAAGGGAAGCTGTAGATGCCCCATCTCTGGAGGTGTTCAAGGCCAGGCTGGATGGGACTTTGAGCAACCTGAGCTAGTTGGAGGTGTCCCTGGCCATGGCAGGGGGGTTAGAACTTGATGATCTTTAAGGTCCATCCCAACTCTAACCATTCTATGATTCTATATGCAGGAATTCATAGCTGAACTTTGTCCTTTGTGAAGGCACCGTGCTCTTTCAAGTCCACAGTACAGATTTTTTAATAGCCATTACCATCTGTAAATACTAAAGGAATCATGAAGCAGAAAGAAAGTCCCAATCATTCCCATTTCGGTTCCACTGTGTAGATAAGCATTGGTAGTATACATAATGTGCTATGTGTAACAGGGAACAGTAGTTCATGTTACAGCTTTGCATGAACCCAAAGTATTCAGGAGATGCAGCAAGCTGATAGTGACAGTAATTGGGCCATAAAGGACATTTACATACAGTTTCCTCAAGGATCACACTCTGCCTAGGGATCATGTCCATGTGTCTTTGGGTGAAGAAGGAACTTTCCCAAGCAGTGATTTGTTTACCTACTTCCTGAACACGCCTAATTGTAAGGCTGAGGCACCATTTTCATATTCTTACCTGCCAGCAGCCACTCTAGCCACCTATCCCCAGGACGATACACTGCATCCTAAGAAAGATACGTAAGAGCCCTTGCAAGAGAAATCCCTCTCAAAAGACCAGACGTGCCCTGCGAGCTTACAGGCAGCATGGCTCCCCACCACCAGGTCACCTACAGCAGTATGAAAGCCACATGGCCAGTAGTAAAAGGAAAAAGGGAACGTTCTACTTTGCCAAGACGACCATTTGCAGTTTGATTGTAAGCTTCCATTTCCTCCTCATGAAGCAGTGCGGGTGCTTGCTGTATCAGTCACATGATTACAAAGTGTTTGTAACAGACTACATTAAAACAATATCCTGTAGCTATGAGACCGTACCCACTGCTTGACGTCATTTGTTACAGAGGTCCAGTAGTAATTAGATTCCACTAAAGTCAGTGTCCTTGATATGCCATGATGAGTGCCGGCAGCATTTTCGTGACATTTCTCAAGCACCTTTTTCTTCTCTTCATCTGAAACAATTACCAGGCGCATTTGTTTTCTGTCTTTTCCAACATAGAACAATTTATTTTCTGAAAGAAGAAAAGTACCAGCAAATTATATGCAAGTGTTTTGTCTTTTGTTTAGTTTACTAAACCACTGGGCATGATGCAGTACAGAATTTATTAAACCAACTTCAATTCACTTCTGTGCAAATGCAGATTTTTGTTTACAAATACTGTCATTATGTCCTCCAAAGAGCCAACTGGTCACTTGTATTTATTAATCTGGACATGAAGGATATGAGGGCAAGTCAGAAGGCAAACAATGTTCCCACAGGAAGTCTGACTCAAACACAGGCTGACGCGGGGGGGTGGGAAGGAGAGGTAGGACATGTTATGAGACCTATCGTCCACCTGCCAGCAACCCGACATTGATATTCGCAGCTTTAACTGCTCTCTGCCTTCTCTCTGCACAGACTGGGCAGCTCTGATGGGACTGAGGGAGCACAGCAGACTACAGAGGCTCCTGCACCTCCTCGCAGGGATGCAGTGAAGCTGGGAAGGGCCAGGAGGCTCTAAGGTGACATGTGGCAAAGCCATCTTTGCACTTCTGCCCAGCCACCCACAGCATCCTCCAGACCGGACCAAGCGTTCCTTGTGTGCAGCTGCAGATCAGAATTTCCCCCTTCTGAAGTCCTTTGAAGTATGGATTACAGTGGCAATGTATTTCCACAGTATTTAGGACAAGGTTTGGCTTTTAGATAAATGTATAAATCCCTCCTGGAAAGGACTAAAGCAGATTGAGTTTCCATTTCTGTAAACATCCTGTTATATATTAACACGGGTAAAGCAGAGTGTTTGTTTCATGGAGACAAATTACAATCACATCCTGCTGCAGAGGAAGACATCACTTTCTTTTTTTGTACTAGCAAATCCTCGCCTAAAAAAAAATAATCTATTTTCAGAGTAGTTTGAGAGACTCTTTTTACCTTTGAAAACAAATTTTTTGGCTGCTCTCCTGATTCCACTTCTTTCACTTGATAATGTTGTGGGATGATACTCCCCCGTTCGCTTGTAGTATGCGATCTGCTTCAGGTGGAGCCCACCATTTTTTCCACTGCGGACCATTGCTAACCTGAACAAATATACAGTATTTGTTAAGACAGAGAAACTGTCAGAGGAGCACATCTTCAGTTTTTACTGTTTTCTTTGTATTTCAGCAGCACTCTGATAACTTGGCATCTAAGAAGATGTTGCACCATCCACTGCACTGCTCTTGATATCCCCAGGCTATCAACTTAAGCAATAGGGAACGCTGGTTGACACACTAATTTTGTTCTGTATAAAGTTGATTTTGTCAACCTTATTTTAAAAACTTCCAAACAATGGGGACTTCCACTATATCCATTGGACAGGGGGGGGGAAAAAAAAATCAGACTAGTGAGAAAGAAATTGCCCTTCTCATTCTTAAACATTTGGATAGCTCTCAAATGCAGGTGTGCTGGAGATTAGACATATCCAGAGAGTCACCCTAGTTGGAAAAAATCCACTTAGACAAATAGGAATAAAAAACCTCCCCAGAGAGAAATTGACAGAAATCTACTTTGTTCGTTAATTCATCTGACATTTAGATTCTGAAGTCCCAAACCAGACTCCGCATGTAAGGTAACAATTCATTCCCTGACACGGGCTGACTTCCCTGATTACATTAATAAACTAAAATGTCATTAGTAAAATGCGTCACTGGTACAGGAAAAGTTTGCGTCTAGCAAGAATAGCATCAAAACAATTAGGAATTAATGACCAGCAGAAACATTCGCAGGCAGAAATACTCATGCAGACTCTATATGATTTCAGTGCTGGCTGGTTGGGTTTTTTTCCAAGTCTGGTCCAGCAGCAATGAAGATGTTGACGGAACGGCAGTTTGATCCTGCTCTAATTGATGTCTACAAGAGCAGGATCAGGGTTGGGGTCTGCATGTCATAATTTCTTAATGAATGCTGGTTATTCACAGCATTAAGCAAATTTCTTCCTTATCCTGCCAGTGTCTCAAGACTAGACAACGTGACAACATAGCCTGCTAAAAAGAGTAATCAGTTTGTCTGCCATATCTGCTCAGTAGCATATAATTATGGGGAAGTGACAGCATCCAGTCACTCTGGAATCCACGTTATCTTATTGAACCACGATGCTATTTGAAAGCCAAATGTGGAAGTCAGATGTTTAGTTTCCAACTTATCTTTATTTTCCACCTATCTTTACTATACTGAGGGTGTAAAGAGCAGGCATAATCACTCTTTAGAGCTTTTATTTACTCTGTTCCTCCCAGAAAATAAAATGCTGTATGATATTTATAGAATATCATATTCTACATATACAGCTGGGCTAAACGTTGCTGTGTTATCAGTGTTAAATGCATGCCAGGAACTTCACAGTCAAACAGTGACAAGACCTTTGCCCCACTGAATACTTAATTTTGCACAACCTAGAGCTGGCTTTCAAAACCCGTCCAATCTCTAGTCACACAGCATTAGTGTTTTAAAGTAAAATTCTCCTACCTGAGAGAACTAGTGCAGATAAACTTTTTACCACTACAATGCTGACAGCGAGGAAAGAAGGTGTTTCAGAACAGCGAAGGAGTGGAGTGAGAAGAAAAGCACTGTTTCTAGTCGTCTTGGCGGGCACAGCAGTTTTGTGTAAATTTGCATCTGATAGCACAAGCCAAAGCAACCCACTGAGTTGGTAAACTGGCTAACTAATAGCAAAAAGGAAGGTCAGGCTACCATGACAAAATTCATGTTTCTGTTGTTTTAAAGAAGCCAACTAACTAGCATTTCTGAGAGTAAAAGCATACTGGTGAAGAGCAATTAATATATCCTATCTGCCAGGGACATGCATTCAAGCTTCATTGAGAGCTCTCCCAAAGGCCTTCCTGCAATTCTCCAAGCATGGCTGGAAAGCCAAAACTAGCCGGGTATGATTTATCACTTAGCCACTGGGATGATGGACCGTTTTGGCTTGACACAGACTTTCACACACAACAAGAAAGGATGTTCCAGAACAATCTTTATTCTTCCAGTCCTTTTTGCTCATGAAACTCATCTGAAATAATGGATAGTCTCCATGTAATACCTGGTTACCAATTCTAACAAAATGAAGTTGCACAGCAATAAAACACATCTGAGCAGGACCACAGCTTATACTTCAGCTAAACAGAAATTACGTCCTCATTTCTGCAATGGTAGTTTCTACTATAAAGGTCTGGAAGAGCAAACATAAGCAAATGAAGAAAGAATGCATTACGTAGTATCCATTTACATTTAACGTGTTTAGTAGGATACTGACCCAGCAACTCTTAAGTGCTTCAATAGTCTGATGGATTGCTGTCTAAGAGGACAGTATTAAATGAGATTCCTTCCTGAGTATTTAGTTTCCTGTGTGCCTACTCGTTTTTTTCCCAATACCTAATTTACCTTGTTTGTCCTGATCTTTAAAAAAACCAAAAACAAAACAGAAAATAACAAGTTATAAAACCTTCTGGGTTTGTTATTTAGAATAAGCCATACTACTTCAGATAATTCATATGCTATTTCTCTCATAATGTATCTAGCAGTCTGTAACAATCAAACAGTTTTACAATCAGTGATCAATTCTTAATACCTTTGAAACTAGAAAAGAATACACCACTTTACAGTCAAGGAAAGTACTTCCTTTCCAAGCAGAGAATGAAACTCACATATAACCAGGGGTCTTTTTGCTTTAGTGTTTTAGCCAGAACAGTCATACCTGCAAACACTTAACACTTTTTAATGCTCATTTTTCCTACACACAATCACAGTCCTAACTACAAAACTGTTGTCTTTCTTCAGTCCAGCTTTCGAGTACTTCTCCTACTTCTATCTGCAATCCCTACCAGAAACAGGAATTTTCCATTAGAGCCTTGAATCCATCTTTTCTAACCATAGCGCTTCCGGGAACCTGTAAAAGAGAAGTACACACCCACCTACATCCTTCCCTGCATTTTTCAAGCCTGAGCCATTTTTGACTCTGAACCCTGACATTTCAGAACACCCTTATTTCTTCGGTATCTCCACCTCCAGTCTCCACACCACCTGACAGGCCATTGGCACCATTAGGCCACACGCAGACCTCGGTGAGGATGGGAGCCACCCTGCAGATGACAACGGTACTACTCCGGAGGCACCGGCAACTAAATTAAACCACTGCCCAAATTCCTGACTCCCGCCTGGCAAACGCCCTGTCACCGCTCACTGGGACCGCCACACGGGGACAGGAGAGGGGAGCAGGCCTGACCCCCACAGAGGGCCGGGCCGGGGGCCAGCAGAGCCGAGAGGGCAGGCACGCTAAGCCCAGGAGGGCTCATGGCCCGCGGCAGCACCATCCGTAGCTCCCCGAAACCTCTCCTCCGAGGAAGCCATCCCGCCCTCAGCATCCTCCGCTGCGGCGCCGCCACCGCCCCAAGGCCGCGCCCAAGCCCCGTGCCCGCCAGCCGTCAAAGACTACAGCCCCCAGCATGCAATGCGCCGGCCGCCACGACGCTGCTGCAACGCCCTGCCCGCGCACGGCAGGGCGGGAGTAGTAGTCCGGGCTCGCCGCTCCCGGGCGCGGCAAGCCTCACGCATGCGCGAAGCGAAGCCGACGCGATCTTTTTCCCTCCCCCACATCGCCGCCGCCGCTCCCCACCCCCTCCCCTCAGCTCGGCTCCGCCGTCGGGCACGCCGCGCACCGGAGGAGCCGCCGGCCACGCACCTGCTCCAGCAGAGGTACCGG